TATATTCCTATTATATACCTACTACATTCCTGGGGTTCCCTATTTGGGGTTTCCAGTAGAGTCCCTTTAATCAGGGGTGATTAATGGTGAACACTGCGGAAGATTATGAAAACAAAAAAACTTATGAAAATAATGAAATGATGAGAGCTGTTGAAAGTGATGATGAAAATACTGGAAGCTGCTAGAGAAGACAGTGCAGATGATGACACATGAGTACTGTGATGAAAAATCATGAAACATTTCGGAAAAAATGAAAGAACAATGAACAATGATGAAATGATGCAAAGACATTGAGAATTATGAAAGGTGATGAAATCATGAAATTATGAAAAATCATGAGAATGATGGAAACTGTTGAAAATGATGGAAACAAATGAAGATGATGGAAATTCTATTCTGGACATGAGGAAACCTGCTGAACATGATGATGATGCAAAGTGAACAATGATGAAAAAATGCAATGATGAAAGTGGCGATGCATGATGAACAATGATGAACCTCATTTTTGCCTTTGAAAGCGTGATGATGACAATTGCGAAATACGAAGAAAATAATGAAATATGAGAAAACTAGATATCCGCCAACGTTTGGAACTAATGAAGTATGATGACAATGAGATGAGGTTAAAATCATGAAAACTGAGACAAAGTGGCGAAGAATGCCGAAGCATTTATGAAAAGTCAAAACCTGTGAAAAATGATGGATATGATGCATGCTGTTTCTAAATAATCAAAACGACATGAAAATCATGATGAAAATGATGATGATGATGCTAAATGTTGCGCAATGATGGCAATTGTGAACGAATGAAAATGATGGGAAAAATTGTGCAACATGATGAAAACTGCTGGAAAATTATGGAACTTATGGAAACTTCTGATGATGGTACCTTTTGGAAAATGATGAACACGATGAAAATAATGGACAATATGAAGCATGATAGTAAAATGGTGTAAATTGCGGGGTTTTACCCCGCGTAGAGCCTGCAGGTTTTGTAAATTGCGCATATAGGCTGCAGACATGGTAAATCATAGCAGTTATAGCATGTGGAAATCACCTAGAGCCTGCAGATGTTGTAAATTGCGCATTTGGAGCTCATGTGGAGCTTGCAGATGCTGTAAAACACAGCATTTGAAGCTCGTTAGAGCTTGCAGATAGCTGGCAAGTACTGTAACTACAGCACCTGGAGCTCTTTAGAGCTTTCAAATGCTGTAAGTTGCAGGCACGCCAGCTCTGAATTTTCTAGGGCGTGCCGATGCATTTTTTGTTGCAAATGTTGCAAGCATAAATTGCCTGAAAACAGCGGGGGCTTGCAGTGCCCCCAACCGTAAACAAAATCATGTGCACAACCGCCCTTACTGCGAAGATGGTGATGACATGGTGCTTTTCTACTGCAAGCATGGACGCCCTTAGAAAAGCAGGGGGTGTGTTGGGGGGCCGCGGTTGCAAACAAAATGATCCGCACAACCCTCCCTCACTGCAAAGATGGTGATGACATGATGCTTCATTCTTTCCGCAAGCACGCATAGGTCAAAAGGAGTTCTATCTATCTTTCTTTCTTTCGCTTCTTTCTATGTCTGCTTGGTCTCGCTTTCTTTTCCTCTCTGCTCGCGCATGTTGTTCTGCAATTTCGCTCTTTCTCCCGGCTGCTGGTTGGAGACGTGTTACTTGCAGCACCTCTAGGAGGCCTGGGAGGCCATCGGAGGCCTGGAAAACCTAAATACTGTATTATCCAGCTATTCTCCATTTGTTGATTCCTTTTCAACTTTGTTTGATCCCTGTCATTTTGTTTGATACTTTCTCAACTTGTTGATTCCTCTCCCGGCACTGGAGGACTGCGAAGGACCGGAGGGGCCAAAAAACATTCCCCACCCCCATTAAAAAATCAAACACTCCTCCCTGGCGCAAGCATCGAAACGACAGGATGAGGCAGGATACTCACAAGAATAGTTCTCGAATCTTCTGCGCACTCAGGTCATGGTTTCTGCTAAGCAACTCATTGTTGTAGATTGGCTCGCGGTCAATCTCCTTCTCACCGTCAGGCCTTACACCACATATGACATATGTGAAAGAGGAACCACTGCAATTCTTCCAGGTCTGCCGCTGGTATAGCAAGCAGGGCTCAATGTCATCACCTTCCATGATTTGCACATCGTCCTGCGCGGCTGTGGCCAAGGACCAACAATGGGTGGCCTCAAAACAGAACAACGCGCTGGATTCGAGCCTCCTGTCTTGGCACAAAGTTTTCCTTCGCATCGGTCTGCTTATCCTCCACCGAAAACTCGACTCCAAAAATTGGAGTGACGCTGAAGATCTTCCTTGGCTTATATAATGTGCCTTTGCCAAGTCCGACATCCACAACACCAAGCAAACTGGCTACGATTTGAAGAACCAGGCTTCCATAGATTGTGGATCTGTGTGTATACCTCAAGGGTTGGATGTTGCAGTTGCACATTGCAGCAAGCAGACTGGCTCTGCCTCCTCCAGATGTTCTACAGGGTCTGCACGGAAACCCAAGATGTAACCTCCACCTGAATTCGACTTGGAGATGCAGCATATCATACATCTGCTTGAGTGCTGCAAGCTTTTGCCGAATAGCTGGAGGCGGTAGTCTCTATGACCAGTGCTTGTCCAAACTTGGAATTCCTTGGCTTTGCATCTTTTGCGACTTACTACAGACCTTGGAAACGACACCTCTCTCTGCAGGCCATGCAACCGAACATTGATGCTCTTCATCTGGAGGTATGGAATCGATACCTTGACTGCGACAATGAACCCACAGCTTTCTGAGGCCATGCCCTAGCTATGGCCCAAGCGTTGAAGTTCTCCGCCAGAACCGCAAACCAAACCGTCCGCACCTGGTTGCAGACGGACACCAGCACATGCAGCAGGCTCCAGCTACGCCAGCTGCAAACAGGCGGCATTCGTAATGATGAAGGTGCCGAGGTTGCCTGTCAACAGGGCCATTCCCTAACAAGCGCAGCGATGCTCAGCGATGCTGTCCAAGCCTTGATCTGAAGACAAATTCCAGATCCCGTTGATCTTCTCGTAGACCTTGCAAGGCGACACACGATGAGTTTAGGACAAGAGAAGGGGCGAAGGCAACAACAATAGCAGCGGCAGCGAGCAGCGAGCAGCAGGCAGCTTGCGGCAAATGCCACAACTTCAGCAGAAACCCACCGCCACCTACCCATCCACTGTCACCATTCATCGCCACCAGCACCATCAACACCTCCAAATCACATGACAAAAGCTTTGCAGCGAGCCTGCTCATTTGGCAGCATGACCAACTCCTTGTCCCGGATAATGGCCCCACGCAACTTCAAGTCCTTGAATGCTGTCTTGAACAGGCAGGACTGTGGACCACTTGTGCATGTTCTTGCCAAGTGTCTCTGTACAGCTTCGTGGTTTCATAGCTCTTAAACACCGCCTGCAAATCAAACAGCAGCTTGCGTCTGACAGCATAACACGGTGCAAAAGGATGCAGCCTGGACCGTTGTGAACAGGCGAGGGCTGTGTTTTACCTTAATGCGATCAATCAAATCCAAGCTTCTGCAGGCCGAAGGCATCTTCCTGTCTTTTCATAAAAAGCTTGGATCTCTTGTGAATATCCTAGTTGTTCGTTGGGGCTTCGTCATTTTGCAACTTGCACGTCGGCAACATAGTGCCACGAGCATACAGGCAGATGTTCGGGAAGCGGCATACAAACCACACCCCTGCAATGATTGAAACGTTTCTTGGCGGGGCCTCTTAACTCCCTCCCCTGTTCTAAGGGCGTACTCCAGGAGCAAGTAATGATAGACTTTAGGCACAACGAAATGAAATCCATCAAGTGGCCAGGGATGTGAAAATGAACTCAAAGCGAGTGGAATTGAACCGTGTCATGACCTTCAAAGGCAAAGGCTTGATGCTGCATGGGCCTGGCCTCTTTGCTGCTCAGGTATGAGCGTACAAAGCTTGGCTGTTGCCGCGCAGCTTGGAATTCACCTGACCATCAAGAACTGTGCTTTGCCACTAGCGACTCGATCTCCGCCGCATTGATGCTTGCTTGGAGCATCTGGGTGGATTTAGGTCTCTCGTCCAAGTGGCCGTTCGGATATTGACGCTCGAAACACAATTGAACCCAATGCCTCGGCGATAGGGAAACGCAAGATGCACATGATTTTCATCCGACGAGAGCTGCATGAGAACGCCACTCAAATTGGTCCTCGCATACTTCGCAGAGGTCCAAATAAGCCTGCAGGAGCTCTATGATGAGGACGGCAAACACACGCCGTCTCTTGAACGAGCAAATTCTGCCTCAGGTTTGTGACGATGAGTATACCCCTTTCACCGTTGTTGCCCTTGGTGTCCTTTGCATTGCGAGCAAATAAATCTTGTGCCATTGCGAGCATGTCGGTCCTCAACGGAGTTGATAGAATCGATCCTTGGATTTCATGTGCTGCCGCTGCTGCTGTGCCGGCAGAGCTGTCGAACATCCGGTGCGTTCCAAGCTGCTGAAATTCACCTTTGCGCAGCTTGAGCAGCTGCGGCTGCTGGTCGAACTTAATCCTCAGCCAACGCTGCAGGCACCAAGCACGTCCCCTCGCGGGGATGCAAGCAAGCGACTCTCGATCCTGCCATACCTGTCAGCAAAAATTACATTCTTACTCTCACATCTGCATATCCCAGCAGAAAGCTACAACGAGCGGGTTTCGAGGCCTCTTCCTGCAGCTGGTCAGGTGCGGACATGTTACCGGGTCCTTGCCGGCGGCCTCACAGTTTCAGAAAACGCTTCAGCTTGCTACGTCATCCATGTTGACGTCACATTAATGAGTAGCCCCACTTTATCTAACAACATCCAATTGACAATTATAAAATCCAGGAGAATATTACTTGTTCGGGGCAACGACTGCAATTAGATTCTAACTGATTCTAAATAGGTGTTCAAACCTTCACTTTTGGCATTATCATTCTGGGGCTCCTCAAGAATTGAGATAGATCAATCGGACAGGCGGGCTTTGAATCGAAGCCAACAATAGTCTCACACATCCCCATGGCCTACCAGCATGCCTCACACTACACAAGTAAAGTCAAGCTTTTTAAAGATTAGTCAGAATCAACCTTGAATTTTCTCGAAGAGATACTGATGTACATTGGAATGCCCAGTGCCGATCAACCACTGTATTCGGCGCACTACAAGCCTAGCTGGAAACACAGCCCAAAGCAGGCAGCAAAGGCCTGCCGTTTTGGTTGGCGCACCACACCACCATGCTACAGGTGCACAGCTTGACTGGAGCCGAAGCGGTAAGCCGGGACAGTTCTGCCCTACCACGCTGCAGGCACAGCCCTCACTTGAGAACCGTTCCACACAAACTTGGCCTCAAGCTTGGCTCAGCGGCGAGAAGTCCGACCTTGCACATTGCACACACATGCAAGACACGCTCGCACACCTGGCTGGATGCGCCAATCACAATCGCCGTGTGACGCTCCTTTTCCCTCCGCCTTCACCCAGTCTTACAACCAGAGCCACAGCTTCTGCGCAATCAGTTCTGCAAGCATGAAGTAGCCGTGCGATGTGAAGTGGAGGCCATCATACAAGTGCCTGATCGAAGGACACGCACTCGCAATAGGATGAGGCGGGACTCGCCCAGCCAAGCAACGATGGAGGAACTGCAGTCAAATTGACGAAGAAGGACGGAAAGCCTTTCAGCGAGCAACATCCGGCCCAACTGTTCCAATACCATCAACCTTTCAGTCAGGAGACGGTAGCTTCGTTGAAGATCAGCAAGGGCATCATTCACGCCAGAGCGTTTGCTTGCTGAGCCCACCTGGCAAAGAAGAGCACAGGAGAGGCGTCGTCCTGGCATCACGAATCGCAGGACACCTTGGGATCAAGAAATCGTGGCAAAGCCAGCACGCCGACCACAGCACCTCAGCTCAAGGAACACAAGCAACAAAAACGTTAGTTCCTAGAGCGTCGAGTGCAGCACCCCAGCCGGCGGCCAGCTTGTGCATGGCCTGATCCACATGAGATAAAATTATAGCCACATCTAGCTTCCAAGGCAAGACCTCAAGACTAGAACACGGAAATTGCCAAGGAGCCTGAAGATTTGCAACGGTGGTGGTCACAGGCACCTGCATTTGTTTTGAACGGAACTACCCACCTCACCTTTTGCAAGAGCCTTGCCTTCTTCAGGTCATTCGTGCCACCCAGAATCAAAATCACGCTCGGCAGCGTCGGCAGGTCAGAAGTGTCAGGAAAGTGCACCAAACGTTGTTTCATGCTCCTTTGCCGCGCGCACTGAACTTCGCTTGACAGCACCTCGCCCCTTCAAAATCACTTTGACTTGCCCGAGGTGCCGGGATGTCTCACCCCACACGCCTGCTATCTCAACCTGCCGCAGAGTGGTCGAATCATCGTCCAACTCACACGACATTCGCACAAAATGACCAGTTGCCAGGCCTTTACGCCCAGCATCTCGGCTAAGAAAACCCCATAGGGCAAGCTGCCGGCTCCGGCAGCTGTAAGCGAGTCACCAAATGCCAAAACAGTGATGTTGCTGCGCAGAATCTGGGCGTGCTTTGCCCCGGCCCCATAGAAGTCCCCCACATCAGCTTGCACAAAGACACAGCTCGGTTTTCGGTGGGTGTATCAATGTATCACGTATTTATGCATGTGTCCGTTTCTGGTTTCCGCGGCCTCTGGCGTATGCAGCGTGCCGCCTGCAAGCCCTGCAATGCCCACCAGCACCAGGAGTCTCTGTGCCATGTGCTTTGCCGTGGTGAGGTCGCCATGTCATGGCATCACCAATCCGCGCCATGAGCAAGACGCACTACAGCACCAGCTTTGCGACAACCCTCCAGCGACTAAGTATGTCCACACGACCTGGAACTCTCTAGTTAAGCCTGGGGATGCCTAGATCTTCCTACCACACAAGTCCTTCTCATGGGCCTGACGCTACTGATGCTTCTGTCTGGTAGCCTGTCACACCAACTGCGCGTGGTGGCCTCGTGCGCCAATTTCAGCTGAGCCCCTTGCAAGCCGGCCCGGTAGGAACACGGAAGAGCTCTGAGATCCAGCCTGGCAAGATGCTCAAAAACTGGCCAAACCGCAACAACGCCAACGTGGGGCCCGGACCTCAAGCGGGCCAGCCAGGTGCCACGGGTGCGGCCTCCAAACTCTTCCAAGAATTCAAAGCTAAAGCTGCAAGTGTACTGAGCTGCTGACAACTTGGTGCCAGTCTGTGTATGCCAAGCTGTCAGCACACAGCCTTTCTGTGCTTTGCACCAGCTACTCGCGCGACATTGTCGGAGTCCTGCTGGCCTGCAGAGGGGTTTCCCAGCTGCCCGAGATCGGAAACAAAGACCTGAAGTGATCTAGAAGTGAAAGCCGCTAGTGACTGGCATTGGCAACTTGACACCATTTGACACCTGAGTGCCTTGCAAGCACCTCTTCAAGGACGAGCATCTGCATATGCTGGGAGGGAAACACCGTCTCTGCTTGGCCAACCGACCAGGACAAGTTCTCAAAATCCAGCGCGGTGAACGTGTGGAAAACACCCACCAGCGTTCGTTCAACAAGCTTCCAGACCAACACACGTCCGTCGGAGGTGGCAGAGGCAACTTCAGTCCTTGAAGCACCTAAGGCAACAAGTTCAGCATGCGTCTCGTGCGCCTCGGGCTCAACAAACTCAAAGACTTCACTTCCCTGTACAAGTGTGGAAGCACGCTCAGAGAACGCCAAGACTTTGGACCGCACTGCTAGCAGAATACATGTACGTGCTGTCCGCGAAGCCTCACACTGCCACTCACGCGGCTCTGTACAACGGCATGCCGCCTGAGGACACCCTCGCAAATCAACAGACTGAACCTTTGTCCCGTTCATGGCATCCAGAAGTTCAACTCCATCACACGCGCTGGGCACAATAAGCGAAGTGCCAAGGAAATTCAAAACTGAAGCCGATGGCACATTGATGGACCAAAGCGGTGCTGAAAGACCAGGGCCGGCTGCCTCTAGCGTCAAATCCCACATGCAAAGCACCAAAAAAGGGCTTCCAGCTTGCACAGCGGCTAGGAAATCTCCAGCCCTGCCCAAATCAACCGCGACCACAGGGCTGCGTGTTCTGACAACACCAAGCTTCGTCATCGCCGGCATTTTCCAAAGACGTATGCCATCTTGGTGTCCCGTAGCCAGTAAACCAGAATTATCAGGGCACATCACAGCACATGATGCTTCCGGTGTGACTGTCACCGATGCGACACCTGAGAAAGAAGCGGCAGTTCCTTCGCCACTGCTTGTGATCCACCCCGTACCGGGTGTGCATGGAACACTGCGCGACTGCCGGCTTTGGCATCGTCGAGCAACTTTATCAGACCCCAGACGCACACAGGAAAGAACATCTGCCCAGAGCAAAGATGCTCGGGCAAACGAAAGCCAGCGATCTGGCCCTTTTGCTGAGGGCAGCGGCAGCGGCATCGCTTCTCCAACTTCTGCAGATCCAAAGCAGAATAAAGGAGCCGCAGCTGCCAAGCAGCACAGGCCAGTGAGGTCACAGCTTAGAAGGATGCGGGCCAAGACTGCAGCTGGAAGTACGGAAAAGCTATGAAGTTGCTCGGCTGCTGCTAGTGGTAATCGAACATCTGCCGGAGGGCCCGGGAGGTGATGGAGCTTAGCCTCAGCTCGAGCAAGTGGCGATTCTGCAGACCAACACAAGACGTAGCCCAGACTTGCTGAGGGACAGCTCGGTCCCAAAGCACATGACTGTCGCAAGAGATGCGCCAAATTCTTTGCCAACCACAAGGTGGACCTGTTCAATTTGACATGGATACGGTGGAACATGCAATGAATAAGGTGTTGGCTCCGACTTCGGAAACACGAGGTCACTGGGGCTTTCACATAGCACCTGCGCAGGCCCTGGATGGCGCCGAGACTTTTCCTCCAGCTACCAAATAGAGGTGTGAACTAACCCTCCTAGTTGAAATGACGGCTCCTGGCGCACGCGCAACGAAGACAGTGACACCGATGCAGTAGGCAACGAGGCATCACTTCCATCTGCGTACCTCTGCAAGAAAGCCCACACCACATGAACGTCTGCCAACGCGCATGTGCGACCATACAGTGTGTGCGCAAATGCCAAGAACATCCAAGAACCGTGTTCAATGACACACATAGAAGAAATCTAATGTTCATTCACCCTTCAGTCAAGCGCGCACTCCACAATCACATCCCAAGCGTTCAAAACACCTCGCACTTCTGCAGCTTTCACTACCTAAGCATGACAGCTTGCTAGGTGTTGCTGAGTGCCAGATGAGTCAATAGCAACAGCATTTTGAAATCTCTACAGGTGCTTGCGACAATCTGAGCTACGGACCGCACGAAATGCCTCGCTCGCTGTTGGGAAGTGGCTTGCCTAAGGCGAAGCTGTAGCTGGATTGTGAGGGCAGGCCAGCATACGAGCAATGGGGCCCTGCACATGTAAGAAAGCAAGACAGCGGCACTCACATTGAGCTTTTCTTGGCGGAATTGCAAGAGAGAGCTAGTGCTTCCCAGCTCACTCCGCAGCATACAACATGTCAGCCTTTCGACTGCCACTGTGCTTGTGGCTGGGAAATGCTATCGCGTACATCTCACCGAACAGCAACCTGGCAAACAGCAGAACACAAGCTGAGCAAATACAAGTGTACTTTACAGAGACCGGCCTCGTCACATCGTCAGATCTTTGCTGAAGTCGCACACACTGCCTCGCGGAAGCTTCCTTTTTGGCCTTAGTGCACGGATGCATGTGTTTTACATCGCTTCAAGGTATCGTTTCAGGCGATCTTCGAGCTAAGCAGGCAAAGCTGCAGCCTCCAGCGCCTGCTGCGCGGCATTGGCACCCGCAAGCGACGCCTCGAAGCCGAAGCGGAGCAGAACCTCGCGCTGCGGACCAAGCGCCACCTGCGCGGGAGCCATGCTGGCAGCGATTGACTTGGTATCAGAATCATCATGCCCCACCTTTGGCAGATTTTGCCTGAATACTTCAACATCCCACCGAACATCGCGTGCGAGTTTGGCAACTTGTTGCTGGAATCCAGGATCTTCATAAGCTGCAAGCAAACAATCCAGCAGGTCCTGAGTGAAGAGTTTCACGAATAAGGCCACGCACAAGCTGCAATGCAACAGAGCTGCAGTAGGACAGTGAGAAAGCCAGGGGTCGCATGCTCCGTCATGCGTCAAGCAAAAGCCGCCAGGCTCCAGCCTACTTGCAGATGGAACCTTGCTGCCGGCTGCAGTCTCTGCGAGCAGGCTATCAAAATCGACGCTGAAGATCAGCTGGGCCTGGCAGGGAATCTCCGCATACGGGCCACGAAGAATGTAAGATTGTATTCTTCCAGGAGGATGCGGACTGTCAAACTTCAGTATCCCCACTCGAGATGCTACCCACATGTTCCCACCCGCCTCAGTCTGGCCATCAAAAAGCACCTGGCATGACGCCGAGAGCTGTCACAAAACACAATTTGCCCAGCCACACACAATGAAACCGAGCGAAACATCTTCCGGTTGTAATTGTAAATGGAGGAATGAGGCACCTTGATGTCACCATCCCCGTCGACCTCCACCACAGTGCCGCCTTGGCCGGCAGCAACGTCGGCCAACATCTCCTTCGCCCATACACCTGATCATCTGATGCTAGATCTCTAACAAAACGGTGTGCACAAGAAACGTTATCCAGGAGGGTTTGCGTATGCTACAACACTCAACGTGCATGCATGCTAGGCGAAACGCCACAGGCAACAGGTTAGTTGGTGAACGAGGATCGTATCCTGGGAAAGTTTGCTTGCCAGCCCTGCTTCTTGATACGCATGACAAACTCGACCAACTCTAACAAATGCCAGGAAGCGATCTCCGACTGCAAAGCGCGTGGAAATTGCTGGCACATCGCTTGAGACCGCATGTTCTGCCAATGTGGCATTGTTCAGCGCAGCCTCTTCCTCGGCATTTTGGGAACGGACAAGATTCACCACCAAGTCTGTGTGCATGCCGCCATCTCAGGCGGGGGCTCGTTCCAGTAGCCTGAGCTCGTCTTCCAACTGCTGTACCTCTTGGTCCCCCTCACCTATCTGAGGTCGAGCATCCTTAGTTCGCGAGACACCGAAAAACAAGATGCAAATCCTCAAGAAAACACGAGAGAGAGGGAGCAACCCACAAGCACCCCTGTCCGCCTCTGCAGCATCCAGCTCGGGTGGCGGATCCTGCACATACGGCTACATACCTTCCTACGCTTCCTACGTGACTTCCAAGGGCTAAACAGGCACCGGCTCCTCTGCAAACACACGATGCTTCAGGGCTTTGCACATTGCAGCCCGTTCGGTCTGCGTGTGCTTGGCTGCTAGTGCGTCGATCTGGTGGCCTACACGAAACAGCATCGAAGTCTTGCGCCAAGCACCCTACTGCTGATCCAAGTGGCGCCGGTTTGCCACATCTCGAACCAAGCGTGTGCGATCAACACGCCCCACTGCAAGCTCCTCTATGTGGTCTAACGCCTCTTTTGCTTCCGCGTAGCGTCCTCCGCATCGAGTCTAGCACTAAGACCGAATATACCGGAATCACCCTGGGAGTGGGAGCAGAAGCAGTTCAAGAGTCCTAGACCTTCAAGTGCGCAAGCACGTCGAAACCATGCTTTGTGGTCCTGAAGGGAGCTTATCAACAGCGAAAAGCTAGACCATGCAAAGGTCAAAGGAAGGAGACCTCATCATCAATGGCCAGTGCATCATCCGACGCTCGCAGAGCATCTGACCAATGCCCAAGCCTGATTGCTGCCTGCCAGGTAGTTCTTAAGCAGTTGACCATGTTGCTCTTGCGCCTCTCGCAAATTCACAGCCGCACACAAGGCCTGCGCAATGTTCTTCAGTAAGATGCTGTGCAAAGCATCAACCATTGCGTTTCCTCTTCATACAAGCATCAACCATTGCGTTTCCTCTTCATACAAGAAAGCCATCAGCAACAACGTGCGGCCCGGTGCATGCTGGGCTGCTTGTCCCCTCCTGCATCGCCTTCTGGGAGTCGTTTCCGATACAAGTATGCTTCCGCACTGCACCAGCTCTCGAAGGCTTGCTCGGTGACACCTGCGCGCCAAGCAGTCTTCCTTTGCGTGACGTAATCAAAGGTAGCAACAACCGTTTTTTGGCAAACGTGTGGCACCCTTGTCCCACTCCAGATATCCATCTTTGCGGAGTTTCTGCGCTTGATTCATGAGCTTCGCCATTGTGTCGGAATCTACCACAACTGGCGTGGCACGTTCATCTTCTTGCTTAAGCTTTGCATTTTCGAGGGTCCGGTCAATGGCGCGTGCCTGCTCAGGAGCAAGGACGAGCAGGAACAGCAACCACAGCCGATTGCATCTCAGGCGCACTGTACTCTTGAAGCAACTGTTCTGCGGCGTTGATGCCACCTTCCTCGAGCTTCAGTCGAAGTGACTGAAATTGGTGGACCTCTTTCACTGAAGCTGTCTCACATACGCAGTGCTGCGCAACTGGAACCCACGCGAGCATTTACAAAAGAAGGGAATGGAGAATTACTTGACAAATCGAACGTCACACTGCAAATGGCTGTGATTCAGGCCTGGTCAGGTCTCTGCAGAACTGCAGCAAGTGGAAGCTGCTGTGTCCGAGCCAACTTCAAACTGTTGGCCAGCGCTATCTCCGCGATCCTGTATTTCCTGAAGGGACAAGGACTGCTCGAATCCGCAATCGCCCCAAGGAGAGACCAGAAGAAATACAAAACCTTACAGAACTGGCCGCTCAGGATTCAAGATCGGCGTCACAAGCCGCTTCACATCTGGAGGGCAAGTTTCCAGCTCAGATGCAAGCTCTTCCCGCATTATGTTTGCCAACTCAGTTTGTTCGTACTGGCGCAGCCAAACTTGCCGCCGCTTGGTCCAGTGCTGCTCTGATCTCAGGATAGCTTTTGCGTACGGCTTTCGAGAAGCGTTGTCCCAGAATTCTTGCTGCGTCTCGTCCAGCAAGAGATTTGGATTGACCCGCGGATCAACCTTCTCCAGCTCGATTTGCTCCAACATCCATTCTTTCGTCCAGTGGTCGGGTATTTTGGGATATCCCAACTCATCAAACTCCTTCTGAGACATGTGTCCTGATGCACGCAGGTCTGCAATTGCCCTGCTGCTTTCCCCGCTGAATTTTCCCGGGATCCGAAGCGACGATTGCCAATAATGATAATGCAAAGGGGATACCACAAAACATCCTAATTTTCCGCATGACACCATTCCTCCCCCAAAGCAAAACCGAACTTAACTGCCTTTTCCACAAGCCCCCGACCTTGGAAGGGGCCCATGTTGAAGGCCGCTCCGTCATCCAAGTTGTTGGCCATCACCATGGCTATTGAACTCACCACAAAGCCATCTTTGCAGAGTATGTGAAGCTTAAATTGCTACTTGACAGTAACAGCTACTTGGTGCGTGACATTTTGGTGCTCAGGAGTCAGTGATCGCAACCAAATGTGCAGCTTCATCAGGTTGCTAACAAAGTGCCACTTGAGCACCGTGCTGCAACTTCTGTTTCAGTTCAGGACAGGTGACAATGCAAAAAGGTCTTCGCACAGGCAAGCTGAGATGCACGCCTCGGAGTCCATGGAGGAACAAGTCTGTAGAAATGCCAAGGCTGCGACGGGACTTCCTATGTCCAGCGCACAACTTTAGAAAAAAGCCATGGGCACTAAATCGCATCATGTTTTGCCACGTACCTGCCCTAAGAAACAAATACCGGACTGTCAGACATGCAACCATGCTATGCCACTGCACCTTGTGATGAGCAAACATGTTGGCGCCCGGAAAAGCATCTCAAACAAATCCAGGGTGGGATCATAACCGGAACACCAAGAGTAGAGCAAGCTTTTGTGCGCGACGCTTGTCACCCTGTCAGACTTGCTCTTTACTATTCAACACCCTCTGCACCGCGCTGCAACTTCTGCAGCTCTTCGTTTAGCTCCTTCTGTCGAACATCCTGTGGGAGGCAGCGTCGCATGACTGCCCCCGGGGTCACGGCATCTGGTCCAAACCATCTCTTCAACAGCCATTCAAATGCAGCAGGGAAGGCAGATTGTAAGATGGCATTGGCTTCTCTGGCCGTCATCCTCGATTCATGAAACCTGTCCATCTGTGGCATGAGGTTAGATCTGCTGGGAGCTCCTACCCCAAATTCAATCCTCAAGGGTTGTTCCACAGACTTCTGGCCAGGACGGAACTGTGGGCACAGGGATTCCAGGACTGGCTTTGCCCAGGTTGGTGCCTTGCGAGCGCCCTCCGTCACGGCAAACTTCCCGCAACTCTTGCGCGATTCCGCATGAGCGATCACAAAATGCTCAGGGGAGCGTATTCCGATGTACTTCAAGCATTGCTTGGCTGCCATGGGTGCAAATGATGTCCCTGAGGCTGAATCGTGCCACAGTCTGCACAGAATGATACCACTACCATGCTCCGCGAAATCAGCTAATGCTGCGCTCGTTGGACGCCAGTGGCCGAAACTATGAGCCTCGGCCAGGTGCTCCACGAAAGCACGGCCCACATGCGCTCTTAGAAATGGAAATTCGGCAGACAGAGGTCCACCCAAGCCAATGATGCAGCGCACCATCGTCGTTCACACATGGCTAAGCCGAAAGAACCCTGCTGCCATGTCAGATGCTTCCCTAACGCATGGTGCTTCCCTAGTTCATGGTGCATCTGAGCTTGTTTTTTTGCAAAGTTCGAGCAGTGTGGAGTTCCTCTGTCTGGCCGGCCTGCAGTTGTCCGATGAGAACTTAGCACAGGCTATCGCTTGAGATTGGAAATCAAATGGGCTCAAGTAACCCACCACGAGAACAGTAGTCCTTCTTCCAACAAGCATGCCTGCTTCAGATCCCGAATTGCCTTCCAATTGCAATGCTGACTGCTTCTCTAACCCATCCTGGAACCCCTCGCATGTCCAGATTGCCAGGCAAAATTGTGTGAATCCACAAGCTCTTCAGTACTGCCCCCAAATGCCCCAGATTATTGACAAGCCATCTGCACATGCCATCCTGCTGGCTGTAGCCGCCACCTGCACCTGCAGACTGAGGAGTTTTAGCCCCTTGCGTTGGTTACGGTATCCAAGACGATTTTTTTTATGAAAGATTCTGAAATTACACCAAGAATCTTACGAGATGCGTTAATTCACCAACCTCTTCTATCGCCCACAGAAATCAACCAAAAGAAGTACCACCTTGAATACCTGCGCTACCGTCATCAGCCCACAACTCGATTCTGCCCCAGACAATGGTCTCTGCGCCACTACCACCTTCTCCCACCACTCGATTCCAGCAAATTGCACACAATTTTTGGTGCTTCTTGTGAATTAGTGAGCAACCCTGGCAGAGAAATCCGAATGACCGTCAGCTGATGCTGCAGATGCAGCTACTCAGCCTGCAGGCAACAATGGATGCCAAACAATGCTGTTCTGAAGCAACATTGGCCTGGAGCGGCAACGGGATTACAGGAGGTGTCACCTGTGGAGCTTCATAGCTAAGGCAGCCTAACGTGCAAGGATGTCCAATTATTCGCAAACACCAGCTACCACCAAACAGGAGCCTTTGGGGGCGGGAGAACACCAAACCGAGCGCCAGATGCTGGTGCTGAGGCCTCACGCATGTCCCAACTTGAAGCGACCATTCCCGCAAATCTCTGCGACACGGTCACATCTCTAAGAAGGCCACTTGAGAAGCACCCTTGCCTGCCGGCGAGTCCTTTGCCACTGGCACTACAAGAGCAATGACTCGCGTGTGTGACGCATGCACCTGTAGGGCTCCATGATGGGGTCGTGACAGCTGTGGACCCTCCGGCTGTGGGCCTTGCGCAGCCATCCAAGTGCTTTCTTTTTCTGTATGAAAGCAGGCACGACCGCCGCCAACTAAAGCAAACATGGGCAGCAACCCTTCTCCCAACATTGTGAAGCACCTACACCCCCGCAACAAAGAGCTGCAGAAAAGGTGGCCAACCCCCACTGCGTCTGACACATTTCCGCTCGGTGCCCGGCTCGTGGCAGGTGAAAGGTGGCTCGGACTTCCAGTACCTCCAAGCAATCCCAGGCTGGCTGCGCATGTGCCTTGCAACCCCTGCCTCTGGACAGTGCCGACGACTTGTCCTGAACAACCGCTTGGAATTTCATCTGATGCTGAGCAGAGGCCTGTTGTTGCTTAGCTGCGCCTTCGGAGAAGTGCGACTCGGTGAGTCCGAAGGCCGCCACAAGGTCTGATAGAGCCATCAATTCCGGTAAATCTCTTGACAACCCTTCATGACATCCTAGTATTCCAAGGGTGTGCACAAGCAGCCTCATCTTGAGCGAAGGAAGCGGGTCCCAGCCCGTTTGTCTGGACCGTCGGCTGCAGCATGTTGTCTCGAGCCTTGTCTGAATGATTGTCATGCCCTTGCATAAGAATTTTCAGGCAGGCCTGCGGCACCATTGATTGCGAAGCAACAGGGGCAGGGGCCTCGTTGAATACCAAGTTGCAAAGGTTGAGCGATTTGCGACTGATACCCATGCCAAGCTGCACATCTGCCTACCCTCCATGCAATCAGGACCCCACTGGCGAGCCGTCTTTGGCAATTCCTGTTGACCTCACCGTCGTAGCCTGGGAGAGCTTGGTGATCAGCACTTGGCGTTAGCATGCATTTCTCGAACTGCGAGAGTTATTGGGGACTTGGAAGAATGTCGACGACTATAGCGTACAACTCCTGACACGTACGTTCAACTGCACAGCATCCTTTGAGGGAATTTGGCCCGGACTGGCCAGAATTCTAGGGCAGGGGGGGTTTCCGGTCACCATGGTCAGTAGAGGGACCTACACCGGCATCATCACTGGCTCATGCATTTGCAAAAGTTTGAGGGTTGCATACGAGCGCTCTCCCACGGCTGACTCTCATCCCGCCGATGGGGTCCCTGTAGAAAACCACTCACCCGTCAGCCAAGAGCCTGGCATCATGCGGAACTTGTGGCAAGCTCGGGGGCCTGGACGGGTTTCCAAAGCCTCGGTGGGGAGCGTAGCGCAACACAAGGTTGGTGTGTCTGAAAGACTCAAGTGAAGAAGCCGCTCCAACAAAATGTTCACATGGATGTTTAAACATATGCCAGCCTTCATCTGAACATGTACTGTAAATCGCTCGAAAGAAGAAAACGGTGGTTAGAACACATGACAGCATTCACCCAAACGTGTTTAAGTTGTTTTAAGGAAAATTTTTGAACATTTCTGAAGCGAATGTAAGGGGGATGTCACAAGATCCTCGAACGAGGCCTCCCAAAGGGCGAGGACAGGCCAAGCAGCTGCCATGAAAGTCCAAACAACAAAATGTTTAGCCGCAGGCTCGTGTAAACCTTTCCTTTCCATGGTCACGGGAAACGTTTCAACGTAAGCATTTACGTAACTTTCCAGGCCTGTGAAAGGCTTCATATAGGCCTCCCGAGAGACCAGGCCCTGCACGAGCTCAGCAGATATGTGTGAACACGTTTACTCATGTTTAAATGCTGGCATTCAAACATTGTGCCTGGAAGTCTCTTAGATTCCCTCTCAAAAGGGGTAATGTTCTGAGTAGCCTGAAAGGCTTTTTGCAAACAAGGCGTGGTTCAGGTACGTCGTGAAATGAGTCTCATGCAACATCGGGCTTGGCCCAAACTATCTTAAACTAATGCTACACTTGCCTTCCATTTGAACACCGGGCGCCTGCGCAGCCCATGTTGGGCTTCTCAGAACTCAGTCACAAATTTGGGTTTCAGGTATCCTACGGACGCTTACATTGAGGTCCTCGTGGGGACCTTTGGGGACGTATGCCATGTGATAACTCTCACTGTACTCTGAGCTTGGCAAGTGTGAAACTTTGTCATGGCCAAACACAGTGGGAGTGGAAAGGGTACTCTCTTCCTTCTTCCTTCCGGTCGGGCTATGGGAGCAGGGTGTACCTGCCCCCGGGCTCTCTTTCTTTCTTTCTTCTTCTTCTTCGGGCGTTGGAGGCCCCTACGGACCCCCCGACTTTCTTTCTTTCTTCTTCTTCTTCTTCGGGCTAAGCTGGTCCCTCACGGACCAGCCGGCGCACTGCGCCGAGCCCAGGCACTGTCCCAGCGTTCAGGTCGGGACCAGCAGGTACTCCGAACAGGCATTCAGGCAGCACTCGCGAGCCCTCCAGCATAATTCATAACAACTGCTCGATTGCCTGTTCTTTCCCACGTCTGGCTGTGAGACTCAAGCGTGCGACAAGAAGCCCCTCTGCCCTCCAACTCAGCAACATAAGGAAACCCACAGAGAACATATACTCCAAGCTCCCTCAGCACGTACGCAGATCAAGCCTCTTGCAGGAAATGACCTGGAGGATCCGCCTCTTCCCTGTTAACTGCGAAATAACAGCATAACTGTGTGCCCCCCCCCCCCGTAGGGCATTGAACTTTTACCTTTTCTTTTTACGAGGGATCGCCCTTGGCTGCTGGTTTTTGCCCTTCTGGAGTCTGCATAACAGTACGGGAAGTTGCGGTCCTTTTAGTGCGGCTGGTTTACTCTTTCAGAAAAGCGTATCTACCCCTACCCTGGCAAGACATCGAGACGGCTATGCCTAACTGAACACAACTCTCCGGCATCCCCAGCCTCACTGGCACCTTGCGGCCTCTTGCTTAGGCCCTCGTCCCTGGTGCAAAAGCGATCAAACGTCAAATTTTCAGGCATCAGACAGTGCTTACACAGCCCTGACCAAGGACCCAGGTAAAACATGTCAATGCAATCTCCCAAAATCTCCCTGAGGACACATACTCCACGTTATGTCCGAGCCCCTGGGAAAAAGCTCTCTTTGCAGGAAGGCAGGCAGCATCATGTATTGAAACCACATCCT